GGGAGTGGGGACGTACCATTAGTGGGCAGTGAGATCTGCCTTTAGGGGGTGGGGACGTACCATTAGTGGGCAGTGCGATCTGCCTTTAGGGGGTGGGGACATACCTGTAGTGAGCAGTGATGTGGAGCTGACAGTCAGTTGCACTCACAATGCGCCGCTCCATGCACAGAGTCACACCTTCGAAGCTGGGGTCCCCGTAGAACGCACTGCGGTGGGGGGTCGGCTGTTTACGGGGTTTCCGAGTCTGCTGCAGGGTCCCAGAACAGGAATCCGATGTCCCAGATCGACAGTAATCTCTGGATTCGGGCGCTGATGATGTTGTCACTCCTGCTGTACACTCCTTACTATCCCCATCAGCCCTCAGCCCCACCTCAGAACAGCTGCCTTCATTGGTTACCCAGCTTCTGACCCCTGCATTTGTCCCAGGCTCTCCTGCCCATCTTCCTGTCACCTCAGCATGCTCACTGCTCCCTGTACCACAGCTCAAACTCTTCACACGGACCCCCCTCTTTGGGGAAACGCTGGCCCTCCCAGTTTCTGAAAGCCCGTCGTCCCAGCCTGGAGCCGATGTTTTCCCTGGATCACACAGGTATCTGCCCTCAGCACTCTCATTCCAATCGTCTGGCACTGGAACACAGTTCCTGCCAGATTGTTCATCGATTGGTAAGGAGTCACCCTGGCCCTGGTCCTCAGTGATAGGATACAGCTCCTGCCTTAGTCTGCCTGTGCCCTCCTCACTCTGGGGGCTTTGTCCTTCCCACCCAGACAGCCTGGTGGAATACCCTGTGTGGAGGCATTGGGGCAGAGGGGAGATGGGGGAGCTGTCAGACGGGGTCAGAGTGGAGCTGCTATGATTCCCAGATGCTGTTGGGCTGTAGTGATAGGAGGGCTTGGAGGGTTTTAAAGCTGGGACTAGCTTGGCAGCTTCCTGTAATAGGCAGAGGATGGCAAACTCTGGGACCTGGTAGGAGGATCCAGACCCTTCTCCATGGGCACCTGGCACAGGCTGAGAACAAGAGTCCAAAGAAGACCTAAAATAAGACACAAGAAATAAAATGAAACCACTGCCAGAGAAATTACATCCCTTTGAACACTGTCTTCTTCTAAACTGTTCACAGGATGTGGGCGTCACTGGCCAGGCCAGGCCAGCACTCAGTGCCCATCCCTAATTACCCTGAGGGCAGTTAAGAGTCAACCACATTGCTGTGGGTCTGGAGTTATGTGGAAGCTGAGCCAGCAAGAACGGCAGATTTCCCTCCCTAAAAAGGATATTAGTGAACCAGATAGCTTTTATGATAATATACAGTGATTACATTAAGTTAGCTTTTAAAAAGAATCTCAGATATTTATTGAATTCAAATCTCCCTACCTGCCTTGATGATATTCAAACCCATGATCCCAGAACATTAACTCAGGGTCCAATGACCATTACCTGAGGCCATCACCTACCCAAGTAGAATCACAGACCATTCGGCCCACCACATCTGTGCTGGCTGTAAAGTAGAGCTGTCCAGTCTAATGCCACCTTGCAGCTCTCACTTTGTAGATCATGTTTCTGAAACTATGGTGAGGCTTCCTACCCTGAGCATCCTGTCAGGCTGACAGTTTCAGATCCCACCACCCTGTGTGGAAAAACATTCTCCTCAACTCCTCCCTACTCAGCTAATTGTTTTAAAGCAATGCCCAGGTTTGTTAGTCTGTCTGCTGCTGGAGTCTGTCCTTCCAGTCCACTTGTAGGGCCCTCGGCATTGTGAGCCCCTCCATTCATTCCCTTGTTTCAAAGGCACTGTCCTGCCCTATTGCATTATAACGGCACAGCACAGACAAGATCCCACACGGCCTTCCTCAATCTCTCTCTCTCAAGTGCATCCTATCCTCCCTGCAGTATGGCTGCCAGAACTGTGCACAAGCTGTGGCCTAACCACTGTTTTATATAATTTGAACCTCCTTGTTCTTAAACAGCAACCCTTAGCAAATCACATGGTAACTCCCTACTGAGAGAACACATGAAATGGAAATAAGAACTGTCAGTCCCCGGGGCCTACTCTGTCATTTGGGGAGACCATGGCTGAGCTGGTTGTGGTTTTAGCCTCACATTCCTGTCTGCTCCCCACCCCCTCACCTAGCCATCATCTCTCTCTCTCTCAGCCAGGAAGAGAAAGTAAAATACTGATGAGCCATTAGAACGTCCTCCTCATCTCCATCTTTTTCTCCTGGAAGCTGGAGTCACTGGTGGGGCCGTCTGTTTGAAACTGAGAGGAGAACTTTGTTCTCGGAGAGTCTCGAGTCTTTGGAAATCTCCTCCTGAAAAGTGGCACAGGCAGAGTTTTTGAATATTTTTAAGATAAAAGGGACAAGTTTCTTGTTGAACAAAGGGGTGAAAGATCACCAGAGATCAGCAGCAATGGGGAATAATGGGATTAACAATGATTTTATTGAACGTTTGAGAGGCGGTGTGGCCTACACCCACTCCACATTCACACATTTATCTGTCCAGTTACTGTGAATGGAATAGAGTCCTAGGCTTGCCGAGGAGGGGAAAATATCTTTCAGCATCTGCCCTGTCAAACCCCCAACACCTCCTCACAAAGTCCAAAAGACTGCCATAAAATCACTTCCTGTTTTTCCAAAGACCAAATGAAACCTTCCTCATAAGGAAACCTTTTCACCTTTTGACAAGACCAAAGTGACAGAGAGGGGTGTATGAGCTGGGTTGATGAAATGTTTTAGTGACAATTTGTTGGATCAATATGATTAGAGACAGGGTTATTTCAGAGCCAGCATTGTGTAATGAAGCAGAGCTCAGTAGTTCTAATACCATTAGATTATGTATTACATGTGAAAGGTCACAGTTCAATCAGAAGTGAGAATGTTTAAGAAAGCCAGAAATATCAATAGGAAGGGAAAGCTGGCTAGGACTGATAGAGTAAAAAGATTAAGGGAGAGGGAGAAAGAGACGGTGGAAAACATTTATAGAAACATTTCAAAATAGGGAACAAAACTCTCCCCCTTTGACAAATGATAACAACGTGAGAAAGATCCATCTGTAACATTCGGGGGAGCTTCTGAACTGTGTCTGTAGGATGTGGGTGTCGTTGGCTAGGCCAGTATATATAACGTCACCGTTAGCTCCAGTGTTCACTTGCAATAAAACGCTAGCAAAGGGCTAAAAAAACTAACGCAGCATGCAATCTCCTGCTCTCAGAATGAGAGATTTGCCCCCTGTGGGGGAGCATGAGTATGTGGGTTGGGAGACTGTGGGACAGGATGGGGGAGTGAATGAGTGAGGGGGTATTGAGGAAAAGAGGGAGTGTAGGAGGGAGGGAGGGTGGGGGTGAAAGAGAACAGGAGAGACTCCTGCATAGCCCGACATCACTGTCATCTCGCTGCCCCCTTATGCTGTAACCCCTGACCGGAGTTTTGTGATAGGGTCTGGTATTTCGATTTCCTGAGGGTGTTGTTACTGAAGCGTAGAGAAAGGAGAGCCAGTGGATCTGGTGGATTGGGATTTTCAGAAGGTTCCACACTAGAGTTTAGTAAATAAAACTCAACCCCATGGCACTGGGACTGGGATTATAGCGAGAGATTTTGGATTGGTTAACAGACAGAAAGCAGAGAGTCGGAATAAACAGGCCATTCTCCGATGGCAGGCTGTTACGACTGGGGTACAGCAAGGCTCAGTACAAGGTCCCCAACTGTCTGCAATCTAGCTACAATTGTATAGTGCCTTGGTGAGGGCTCCCCTGGAGTATTGTGTACAGTTCTGGCCTCCTTATCTAAGGAGGGAGATATTTTCCATTGAGGGAGTGTGGAGGGGTATCGCCAGATTAACCTGAAGACTTGTGACATCAAAGGGATAGGGAGATAGACAGAGGGAGTTGAGATGATGGTCAAGCATGATCTAAAATGATGGTTCAGTGCTGATGGGCTGAATGGCCTTCTCTTATTCCTATTGTCCTAAACAAACAGCCCCTGATATTCCGGGACCTGACTCCCAGGTGCTTTTCCAGAGTTTACACCTCTCCCACCCGGATTCTACCAACTGGGGATCAGTGATTGTGCAGCAGTTCTCATTGGGCTGGATCTCTAACCTGGGCACAGACATCCAATTGAGCGATAGTCAGTGTCTTCTCCAATGTCAGGTTAGAATATGAACTGATGAGCGTCCCCCAGAAGAGGGCATCTGGCTAGATCTCCAGCATTCAGAACCCAAAGACATCAACAACATTTTACCCCATTGTGGGACCTGGGGCCAAACGCTCCAGTGGTTGGAGTCATACCTGGAAACTTAAGAAGATGGTCATTGTTGTTGGAGGTCAATCATCTCAACTCCAGGACATCTTTGCAGGAGTTCCTCAGGGTATTGCCCTAAACCCAACTATCTTCAGCTGCTTCATCAATGACCTTCCCTCCATCATACGGTCAGAAGTGGGGACGTTAGCCAATGATTGCACAAAGTTCAGCAACATTCACAACTCCTCAGATACTGAAGCAGTCTGTGTCCAAATTCAAGATCTGGACAATATCCAGGCTTGGGCTGACCAGTGCTAAGTAACATTTGCACCACACAAATGCCAAGCAATGACCATCTCCAATAAGAGACGATCTAACCACTGACCCTTACCAATCAACGGTATTACCCATTGTTCAGAATGCCCCACTAGCAACATTCCATGGGTTACCATTGACCAAAAACTAAACTGGACTCACCACAAACACAAGAGCAGGTCAGAAGCTTGGAGTCCTGCAGCAAGTGATTCATCACCACTTCCATCTAGAAGGACAAGGGCAGCAGATACATGGGAACACCACCACCTGCAAGTTCCCCTCTGAGCCACTCACCATCCTGACTTGGAAATATATCGCCATTCCTTCAGTGTCTCTGAGTCAAAATCCTGGAATTCCCTCCCTAATGGCTTTGTGGGTCAACCTACACAGCACATAGACTGCAGTGGTTAAAGAAGACAGCTCACCACCATCTTCTGAAGGGGGCAACTAGGGTCGGGCAATAAATACTGGGCCCAGCCAGCAACAACCACATGTTATGAACAAAAAAGTTTTGAGGATTGGGAATATCCAGCAAAACGTGACTAAAAAATAAGAAAAAATAGAATAGACAAAATTAGCCATGAAGGTAAAACAATTTGAGAGAGAGCTTACATGTTATGGAGAAAGGAGAGTATCTCTGAGGCAGGGACAAGAGTTCCATGTGTAAAAACCAAAAGAACTGCTGTAAATCAGAAACATAAATAGAAATTGTTGGAAAAGCTCAGCAGGTCTGGCAGCAGAGGAGTGAAATCACAGTTTCGGATCGAGTGAACCGTTCTCAGAATTGTGTTTGGAGTGGCAGAGGTTAAATGTGGAGTGAGAGAGAGCACCCAAGGGTCACAAGAGCCCGTCTTAAACAGCACAATGTTAACATTGGGTATAACAAGCAGTTAGGAATGCAAATGGTGTGTTGAATGGTCTTATTTAATAAATTCTTGGGCATTTTACTGAGACCATCCCAAACATTGTTTTTCAGAAAGGAGACCTTTCCATTGGAGGGGAGACTGGATTGGTTGAGGGAGATGAGAGGGGTGAAAGGTGAAAGGTCCCACAGTGAGAAGCTGGGTCAATATTCTCTGGCCTTTAGAAGAATGAGGGACAATCACATTGAATCTTTGGAATTGTCTTTGCTGGGGATTGATGCCAAGTTGTGAAATAGATTTAGGGCTGGCACAGACAGATATTGGGTCTCAGAGTATTTGAAGGAATTGGGGAACAAGTGGGACAGTGAAGCTGAAAACATCCTGCTTTACCACCCATCAGCAAATTCAGTGACAATACAATAGGTTCCTTTATCAGGAGATAAATAATGGATTATAACAGTCAGGTCCTAGGTTCTGACCCACACCAACAGCCACCAATTCCCAGCCAACACTTCTGCAGTTGTTGTGTATTCCTTCACCTTCTCTGATCTCCCTAGTCCACCATTTCACACGGCTCCACACTGAATTCCATTGGCCCCTTGTCTGCCAAAGCTTCATGTTATTGCCCTCTCTCTCTCCCAGTCCGCCCACTCTCATGCCATCTATAACATCCTGAATTACAGCTGGCACAGTTAAACAGAGGTCAGTCTGAGTGTGGGCTACCCGGGGACAGGATGAGACAGGATCAAGGTGACGATGGAATGGGACAGCGGTGATTTCACCAGCTCTAGAAGGTGAAAGTTGTCCTGGTCGCACTCTGTGGGATAAGGGAGGGCACCAGAGGGAGGGGGAGGCAGGGTGAAGGGGTCGGTCAAGTAACTGAGATCAGATTCAGGCTGGGGGGTAGGGGCAGGACACCCACCTGTCACAGACCCGGGGGGTAGCAGCCCCTACCACCCCACCTTCTGGAACCAAGCAGTCAGAGCGAGTGAGGGTGGCTGACAGAGGTGAGGGGGGGTCCAGGCAGGGAGGAGAGGGAGGTTCCAGGCAGGGGGGTGAGGGAGGGTCCAGGCAGGGGGGAGACAGGAGTTCTAAGATGGAGAAATCAGGAGTCTTCATGCTCTCAAAGATGATCCCATCATCCATCAGGGTGGAGCTAAAGAAAACCCACGATCGCCTTGGCCTCTCTTCAGCCAATCAGCCAGCCCAGGATCCACTCAGCCAATCAGCTGTCTTCAATCTGCTGGGTCAGGAAATTTCTTCAAGGTGTGATCCTGAATCAGAACACAAGTGTCACAGGGAGCTCTGAAAATTACCTTGTGATCAACCACTATCCAATCTCCAACCCACCACTGCCCCACAGCCCTCTTTCCTTACTGCCATAACCCCTCAACCGCAAAACCCAAATACCACTCCCAACCCAACTAGATTCACTGCCCAGCTCCTCCTCACCGGACAGAGTGGCCTTTCTCTTCCTCATCACTCAGACATGCAGAGGGGGAATACTATTGAAAAGGAGAAAGATTGCAGAAAACTATAGCACAGGGGGATTTGCGAGTCCCTGTGCACAAATGACAAAAGAGCTATCGGTCAAATTCAGTGGATCATAGGGAAGGCAAATGGAATGGTGACTTTGTTTTAGAGGGAACGAAGTGTTACTAAACCTACACAAGGCACTAGTCAGAGCACAACTGGAATATTGTGAACAGTTTAGGGTCCCTTATTCAAAAGGGGAGGTAGACTGGCATTGGGACTAGTCGAGGGAAGGTTCACTCGGCTGATCCCAGGAACAGAGGGACAGTTGGATGAGGTGAGATTGCCCACTCCATTCACATTCTGAGAAGGGTAAGGCCCATTAGGGACGAAGGGGAAAATCTGTGCATGGAGCCGGAGGACATTGGTACAATCTTAAAAGAATACTTTGCATCGGTCTTTACTCTGGAGAAAAACAGGATATAACAGCAGCATATGGACTGTGAGGTTGTTGAGAAGAGAGATTTTGGGAGTGAGGAGGTTTGGAGATTTTGGCTGTTTTAAAAGTGGTCAGATTCCCAGGTCTGGATGATTTGTATCCCCGGTTGCTATGGGAGACATGGGAGGCAATCACAGGAGCTCTGACCCAAATGTTTAATTCCTCTCTGGGCATGGGGAAAATGCCAGACCGGAGGACAGCTAATGTGCTTCCACTTTTCAGGAAGGGTGACATAGGTAGACCATAGAATTCCTGACCAGTGAGTCTCACATCATTGGTAGGTAAACATGGTGAGGATTCTGAAGGAGAGAATTAATCTCCATTTAGAGAGGCATGGCTTTGTCTGAGGGCAGTTAGGGCTAACAAATCTGGTTGAATTTTTTGAGGTGGTAACCAAGTGCGTGGATGAGGGTAGGGTAGTTAATGTAGTTTGTGTGGATTTCAGCAAGTACTTAAACAAGGTCCCACCTGGTTCACTCATTAACAGGAAAAAGCTCAAGAGATCCTTGGTAACTGGTAAAGTGAATCCAAAATTGGATTAGTGGTAGGTGATAGAAGGTGGTGGAAGAAAATTGTTTGTGAGACTGGAGGCTGGTGTGCAGTAGTATACCACAGGGATAACTGCTGGGTCCCTTATTGTTTCTCATTGTCAATGAGAATGTGAGGCAGGCGGATGGATAAGTAAGTAAGTTTGCGGAGAATACAAGGATTGGCTGGGAGGAAGAAAGTGAAGAAGAAAAATCTTAAATTACAGGAGGATATGAACAGATTAGTCAGATGGTCACCTCAGTGATAGATGGAATTTAACCCTGATAAATGTGAGGGGATGCAGTTTGGAAGAAGTAACAAGACGAGGGTGTACTCAATGAATGACAGGGAATGAGGAAACGCAGAGGAACAGAGGGATCTTGGGGTGTTTGTCCACAGACCCCTGTAGGTGGTAGGACAGGTTAATCGGTTAGTTAAGGTAGCAAATGGGACACTTGTCTTTATTAGTTCAGGGTGTAGATTATAAGAGCAGGGAGGTTATGTTGGAGCTGTACAGGAATTTGGTTAGGCCACAGCTGGAGTACTGTGTGTGGTTCTGATCCCCACACTCTAAGGAGGATGTGATTACACTGTGCAGAGGAGATTCATTAGGATGCTGCCGCAGGTGGCACAATCCAACTATGAAGAGAGGCTGGGTAAGCTCAAGTTGCTTTCTTTAGAGCAGAGAGGGTTGGGGGGTCCTGACAGATGTGGGTAAGATAATGAGGGGCATGGAGAGGCCAGATAGTAAGCAGCTGTTCCCCCAGGTTAAAGGATCAATTACAATGGGTCACACTTTTAAGGTGAAAGGCAGGAAGGATATAGGGTGGTGGGGGTCTGGAAAGATCTACCTGGGAAGGGAGTTGAGGCAGGAAACCTGATAACCTTGAAAAATAATTTGTACGAGCATTTAAAACATATTGTTCAAGGCTATGGGCCTTATAACAGAAGGCAAGATTACTGTAG